GTGAAGGGTCCATTGAAATACCTGGTTGTTCAGTAAGGTGGAGTGAGGTTTTGGTAGAGAAAGATGTGGGTCCTTGTAATGTTTTTGTGTAAATAAATTGAAGATTGAATGAAAACATTATTTAAATGACATGATGCCTAAATGAGCTGAATGTTATGTTCAGAAGTGTTGAGTTCAGACCCTGGTCACGTGACTTAGCTAATGCACTTATTTTAACCTAAACCACCATCTTTCCCTAAACCTGTTGCCTAAATCTGACCAAACCAATGATTTACATAACACACTGAAGGTCCAGTACTCCTGTCTCTGGACTGGTACTTCTCAACACTCGTTTTGGGGAACAGTCATATGTGGTTTATGTATGAGGACATGTTGAGAACAGAATACAGCTGCAGTGTGAGCACTGCGCCTTAATGATGCCTCTCACTGTTTTTTTCCGGATAATTTCTAATTATTCCAGAAACTCTGATAAAACTGAACTCAGAAGAATAGAAAGTTAAATCTTTTACCTGCAGCAGGAGCCATGTCTGCAGCCTCACAGAGGAAAAGGTGGGGCTCCTGCAGAGGGCGTGGTCTCTGCCTGGTTCTCCTCCTGTGTACTCTGGCTGTAGTTACCAGTAACTTTGAAGAAGAGGGGTTTTCCACGGGAAACACAGTAAGCTGATAACATGAGACGAAGTTAAATTCAGGCAGCAAACCGTGGAGATGTTAGAGCTTTAAAACTTTCACACCCAACCTGCGGGGTTCGGTTCAAACAGACTGTGGCATGGTTTGGTTCGGGTCATTAACGCTGGCGTATACGCTGTGAATTCAGACTGTTATGGACCCAGAATGCTTCAGAACATGAAGCTAAAAGACGTCCTGTTTCGTCTGTTTCTGTAAATGATTGATTATGATATCAGCTAAAAGAGGCTAAACGTTTGTCAGCATGAGCAACCTCACACAGAGTCACCTGATCTGTTATTGATATAAAATATTGATCCGTGCAGCTTCACGGATCAATCACCTGTGTTTTATAAGAGACAGATATTTATTAGTTCTGAAACAGCTGTTTATTATAAAGACAAAGAATCCTTGTGAAAGGATGGATTAACACACAGGAGGAGAACAACAAACGCACGTGTGCACATTTTCAGATGAGGACTGCAGCTTACTTTGGCTTCAACTCAACAATCAATCATGATTTCAGCTAAAGTTACTGTTACCTCGTCTGTGGTCCGCTGGCAGAACACCGCTGCTTTCTGATCAGGTGCGGTCGTGCTGTTGCCGAGGTGACATAAGTTTTGTTTGACGGTGGACAGACGGTAACATTACAGAGTTGTTGTTTTCTTTAGCTTGAAATAATCACAGACTTTGGACCCTTTCTTCTTCGTCCCTTGCTGTTTTCTCTCTTCCTCCACTTTGCAAACAACGGCATTATAATCACGTGGTGTTCACAGCGTCAGCGCCATGTGCGACAGTAATAAATGTCCCTGTAAAGTTACATGGATTAACGAAGCATCGATGTTGTGTCGAAGCATTTTAGTAATCGATTTAATCGATGAATCGTTTCAGCCCTAGTTAAGGGTCTTGCTCAGGGACACATTGGTGTCACAGTGGACTTGAACCCGGGTCTCTCACACCAAAGGCATGTGTCTTATCCACCGCGCCATCACCACCCCACATTTTTCATCTACAATACTGCATGTTAATATAGTCACAGTCAGGGTCTAAGGACATTGTCGCCGTCTCGTCATCGACTCGTTTTAGTGACGGGGGAAAAAGGTCGTTGACGAGTATATTCCGTTTAGTTTCGTCTGACAAAAGTAACACTTGTTGGAAGTGGATCCTGCGTGTAAGCGGGAGTCGGTGGAGGTTGTGAAGGACGGAGGTGATAGGATCTCTGCGACTGTGGGAAGTGAGCGTGTGGACATATTGAAGTTTACTGATGATTTTGTGAGGCGAACCGTAGAGGACAAACGAGTCTGGAAGTGATGAGGGCACGGAAGAGTTTTTCTACAGCAGTAGTAAAAGACGATGAAGGCCGGAGGCGGGCGACATTCTTGAGGTGGAAGAAGGTTTTTGTTACCTGGTTGACGTGGGGCGGGGTCAAAGATGACTCCAAGGTTTCGGACCTGAGTCACACGGAGGCCACGTGTTGTTTTCTTTCCTGCCAGAGTTTCAACAACTCCGCCTCTGATTAGTTAGTACTCGTTAGGGTTAGCCAATTGGATGCATGGGGCGGGATTTTGTTGTCGAATCTCTGGCAGGGTTCTGAGTCACGGCTTCTAAACGCTGTACGGAGACAGGAACTGTAATGAAGGCGATGAAAACAGGAGTCTCCCGTGAACATCGGGAGGGTTTGAAAGTATTTGCGTGAACTCCGATCTGACCGTCCAGACTGAGGTTGCACTACACCTGTAACTGATTTGGACCACATATCGAAGTGACCCAGAGCTCATGTGACTCACACTAGAAACAAATCTGAGCCACATATGAGCATTGGCCTGCAGTCTTGAACGCGGCCTATATGACCTTGTCAAAAGTGCACCAGCCTAGTTTCCACAATCAAACAGGATTCATGGTTTTTTAGAGAAAGGAAAAACAATGCGATTCGACTCGAGCGTCTGCATCAACAGCAGCAGATTAAAGGAACAGGAGCCGGCTCCTTTTAAAGACTGAAGATCTGTCTGAGCTGGAGAGGGACCAGACGCATCTGCCAGAGCAAATAAAACACGAGCTCGCAGATTCGTCTGGTTCCCCAACCCGTTCTCATTCCCAGGGTGTCAAATGTCTACGCTTTGTCACGTCCTTCGGCGCCTGCTAGCTCCGCACATGGCGGCCTTTAGCATCAACGCTAAAAGATAAATAACAGAAAGGTCCGTGAAAGGACATGTTCGGGAAGGGTGGGTCAGGAACCGGGCTTTCAGCCAGGAGACCAGCGTTTGTGTCCTGTTTGGGAAAATAAGTCATTAGATAAGACATTTATTGAATTTAGTGATTTTAAGGGTGCTTTCACACCTGTAGTTGGGTTCATTTGGTCCGGACCGAGTGGGGAAAAAAGATTCACTGCTGCATTTTAGTTCTGTTCCGGTTCATGTTCACACTGCAGTTTTACAAACGAACCAGAGAAGTAACCATGACGTCACACAGACGTACAGGTAGCTTGTTGATTGGACAGCTCTGGCGATTGTCATCCTGCATCATCAGGACCCACGTGGGGAAATCAAACTCCGGTGACTGACAGAAGTTTGTGCAGCACTTTAAAGCTTCTGAGCTGTATCGCAAAGAGCTCACGAAGTAATAATTTATTATAAGCACGATTAGTAACGTCAGACTGCAGATCGACCACATAGCCTATTATGAATAATAACGTAAAAACAGGACATGTCCAGTAATAATTCGAGGCTTATTCGCCTATAGTATACTGTCGTATCGCTGTCACACATGTTTTGATGTTATGAATACTACTTGCCCTCTTTTTTTTAAACAGATTTTAACATATTAATCAGGGAAATACCCGCGCTGACAGGTAGGCCATACTTTTTAAAATGATTTTCATAAACATAGCAGCTTTTACAGATCAATTATAAGATCGCTGAACACATGTGGCGGCCAGACGGTGGATTTATTAGTGGTTTAGCTTTGGAGATAAAGCTCAGGTCACATCTCTGCTATCATAAAATCCTGTGTTTGGTTCGTTTGCTTTCACACCACGAGCGAAACGCACCAGAGTTTGTTTGAAAACGTACCAAGACCACCTTGAAGAGGAGGTCTCGCTACGCTTGTTTGGTCCGCTTTTGGTGCGCACCCGAGTGCTACATTCACACCTGCCCAAACGAACCGCTCCAGGGGGGAAAATGAACTCTAGTGCGATTCAACCGAACTAAACGAGGCAGGTGTGAAAGCACCCTCAGGCACCCCTAAGTAACATTTGACCCAAAACACAATCTTTTCCTAAACCTGACCACATTGTCACGTTTCACAACATTAACCAGAAGTTTTATTTTGAAAGTGTAACACAACGTTGACCACAGAGCACTACATGTAACAAAACAACCTTCTTAAGGAAACCCAGGGTGTTAAAAAGCGACGCTAACGGGTCTTGACCAAGTGTCCATTTGTGAAGCCGCAGGATGAGAACAGGTTCCCAGGCTTATATCTCAACAACTATTGGAAGAAATGTAGTTCAGACCTTCCTGTTTCCCTCAGCATGAACTGTAATAACTAACTTGGTGATCCTCTGACTCTTCATCTAGTGCCATCATCAGGTCAACGTTTTAATTTGTGCAATACTTTGGTTTATAACCAGATACCTGCAGAACTGATGCAGTTTTGACAGCGCGTGCGGCCTCACGGAGCCGCTAGACATCGTCTGATTGATTTTTGATTAACAAGAAGGAAAACGGCGGCGGCACGGTGGTCCGGTGGATAGTGCTGTGGCCTCACAGCATGTAGTTCGAGGGTTCAAAGGCCGGGGCAACCGGGGTTTGTGCAGTTTGCATGTTCTCCCCAGACTAGGTTAATTGGTGACTCTAAATTGTCCTTAGGTGTGAGCGGTTGCTCGTCTATGTGTGGCGATGGACTGGCGACCTGTCCAGGGTGTACGCCGCCTTTTGCCCGCCCCCAGCTGGGACTGGCTTCAGCCCCCCTGCGACCCTGTACGCAGGATAAGCAGTTGACACTGGATGGATGAAAGAAGGAAAACAGGCACAGCGTGAACTTTAATCCACTGAGCGTCACGTCTTCAACCAACGTGAGCCAGAGGGGTTTGTGCTAGAAGGAATTTAAAAGTTGTTTTTATGTAACACAAGATTTAACATACAAATCTCTGCTTAAAGACTCAGATTTCTTCTTCATGATCCAGGGGGGTTCATTCATGAAATAATTTACTGTGAGTGCAGTTCTGTGGTACTGATACATGAGTAAAGGATTTAACTACTTCACCTCTGCAGTGGGAGGGAGGGTGCGGGGGCCTGGGGGGGGCTGGGGGGGGCTGGGAGGTGTTTCCTGCAGAAACAAGCCTGCACCGCCCTACATGGCCGCGGGACTCGTGTGTTTTGTTGGCAGAAGGTGCGGACGCAGAGCAGCAGATCTGTAAGTGACTCTTTTTCTCCTGTGCATGAATGGGAAAACCAAGAATTATCACTGAGTGAAATGCATCAAGACTGTGCAGCTTTGTTTGTTACCTGACTTTTAGATCTGCAGAGTTTGTTTTAAAGGCTGATATGCATCTAATTCAGAGCTACTAGGGGATGGGCTTTGCTTAAAAACAACTTTAATTCCATCTAAACTCACTTAAATATTAGCTAAGGTTATTTTTCAGTTCAGTCTGGGATCATTAATGTAAAACGAGATTAAATTTAGGATCATATTCAGTTTTTTCCCCTGTGAAATCATTTCTTAATGCACAGCTCAGCTTAACTTCTGTTATATTTAACAGGTGAGGGGGTTCAAGGTGCCTTTGAGATTTGTCCTTTTTTAATGTAAAAAATGTGTAAATTAATATTGTTATGCAAGTATTAGTTTTGGTCAGGATATTAATGGCGCATTATTAATAATAATCACTTAGTCTGTTCAGTTCTGGATATTTCATATGAACTGTTGCATATTTTTTGGAGCTTTTTAATATGTTTTGCATGAAACAGTTGCTGACCGATTAAAAGAAGTACAGTAAACTCTTGTAAAGTGAAAATCCTCAATGTACCGGATCCTCAAAGCTGTATTTAAGAACTTTACATTAGTTTATTTAAACCTCTTGAATACAAGAGTCTAAAAGGTAAAAAAGAAGTTAAACTGAATTAGTTATTTTGCAACTATTATTATTATTTTTGCAAACTGGTAGTGTTAAACTTTGAAGTTTAGAGGAAACTCTCTTTTGGTTTATCACTTTGAAGTAGCAGTGGGTGAAATGGTTAAAATCACCGTTCTTCATCACATTTGATGAATTTTTCTTTATTTTGAACTTCCATACAAATAACTCGTCCCGCTCTGTATTTAAAATTAACCCTCCTCCTCCATGTTTTACTTGTCACTCTTTTTCTGCGGCGGTTTGCAGTTTAAAGGTGCACAATCTGTTGCTCTCATGGTGATCACACCTGCTGCCCAAATCACGTTACGTTGTGAGTAAGCTGGATATCACTCGAGATTCCAGCCCCGATTGTCTTCATAGCCGAATGAATAGCAGAGATGGCTCGATATTTCCAAATCTCTAATCATGAACATATTTCTACTGTCACTCGGTACATACCGTCATATCGCCCAACCCTACTGTTAAAGGAACATCACTGTTGGTCAGGCTTTTAAAAGCTCTTTCTGACAATGTTTCATCTTAATATGACGTTTCCTGCTGCCTGTAAATGAAGAAATGTCAACTCTTGGCCAGAACACGTTCACGGAAGCATCTGATTTACGCTGCTGGTCACTGGATCAGGACCATTCAGCTGTTTTAATCCATGTAGGGCTGCAGCCTAACCATTATTTTGGTTATCTGTTAATCTGCTGTTTCTTCTAGGTCAATTGTTTCATACCTAAAAAGTAAAAACAAAGAGAGTGAAAAATGCTCCTCATAACTTTCCAGATCAAATGTGACATCTTGAAATGTTTAGTTAAAACCCCAAATTAACAATAAGAAGGATTATATGAAACAAGATGTTTGTTTGCTTGTCTTCTTAGTGTGCAAAATCCAATCTGTCTTTAGTAGGAGTTTTTCACATTATGCTGTGGGGAGTCTCGATGTGAAACACATGGTGACTCCAACTGTCCACCACCGTGACTCTCACAACAGTGCAGCGCTGAGCTCTGTGCCTTTCTTTTAATCTTTTTCCTGTTTCATGATAAATGCTACTGAGAAATATTTTAAGAGGCTCTAAGATCAAAGTCGGATCCAGAAAGTATGGAAGTTGTATAAGGACAAAACTGTTTCTAGAGTGAAAAACCAATTCAAGCATGAAAGTCCACGTCTGAGAGCTCGCAGGGGCCGATACAAAAGATTTGAGTTTACGTCTCATGAGTTAATAAATTGGTTAAAATGTTTGTTTAAAGTTAATATTGAAAGTAAAACATGTCCAGATGAAACAGATTGTTTGATACTCTACTGTAATATACAGTACTGTGCAAAGTAAAGTAAGAATGCTTTCAAAAGTAGACGAGTTAATAGATTAAATTTATCGAATAACAAAGTGCAAAGTGAGTGAACAGTAGAAAAATCAAATCAGTATTTGGTGTGACCACCCTTTGTCTTCTAAACACCATCAATTGTTTAAAACAGTTCTGTTCATTATCGTGCTGTATAATGTGTTTTTGATCATTTTGGCATACTTGTAAGTTCTGCTAGTCGTTTTAACTACCTATTTTTTTACTACCTTTGTTTCCATCACTTTAGAAAGAACAAGCACTGTACTGCAAAAGATGTATTTTTACTTTGTTTTTCTGACAACATTTGCTTATAAGCTTTTAAATTTAAAATATAAAAGTGTAACAAAAAGGCATATGCAGATTTAATGTGTATATGATAATTTATCATGTGTTATGTTTGATCGCTATCGGTTATCAAATTTGACCCATTGAATTATCAGATTTAAAGTTTAACTGCTTGATATCTGAAAACCGCGCTTAACACGTGGTTTTCCAATCTTGACTTGGTTGATTCGATTACAGCTTGGAGATATTTTTGTCATTAATGAACTCCCATACTTCAGGCAGATCTGTTTAATGTAACTGAAAGATCTACTGCAGCCTCCAGGCACTCAGTTCACTGTACAACCCCCGTCCCCCTCCACCCTTCATCTGTTTCTTATTGGACTTTTTCTTACACAGAAAGCTTTACAGTATTCATCACGTAATACTCCTGTTGGGACTTAAACTATGTCTGCTTGACTCTGTGACTCAATTCACTTTATTTCACCAGAGTAATCCACTCAGTATCAGTACTGCTTTCTAGGCAGACCTGGATACGTGCAGAAGAAGAAATAAAACAGTTCAAGCTGCCAAACGACGACAGATTCCCATTGATTCTCAAGCGATTGTTCCTCTACATATCTTATTGAAGTATTATTCTAAAGTCCTTGCAGTGTGACTCCACTAAATGCTTTAATCTCCTGCAGTATAATTATATTGTGTCTCTCCTCCTCTTAGACATTAACTATAATATTACAATAATGGTAAATTACAGTCCCGTCATATCAGATCTTAAAGCATCCGGTACATAAACTCTACAGCAGTGTGTGGTGTTTTATCTCCTGTTGTGTCACTGTGGCCTGATTCTTGGTGTCATTTGTACAATGCTGGTATGATTTATTGTAGAATTACTGAGGGTATCATCCTTCTCTCGTCTGCACAGCATCTGTTGAATCAGTCCTGCGCTGCATGAGGTCATACAGCCTGTAACTCCTACATCTACTAATGGTTTCCAACTCTCTACTTCTGCCGTTTGTCTTCCCGTAGTCTTGTGACTCAAGCTTCCAGTGAAGGTTGATCGTTGTACAGTTGTACTTTTATGGAATACATGTACACAGGAAGGAGGAACTTTAATATGGAGACCTTTTGTACTTACTTGGGGTTTGGTGCACTGAAAAATTATCTTATGTCTGTTTTTCTTTTAAATATGAGTTAGGTTCATAGGGTCAATACAGGGTCATATTATAATTATTAAATTAATTATTTCTTATGTAGATACCCGCTGATCTCAGCATCATATTCAATCATAGATCTACAATATAAGTCTAATATCAGTTGACACGCAGGCTTATCGCCGTGTTAGTGGTAGAAACCTATTAAACAGTCTAGGTAACGTTATACTTGCTAATATGACGGACCAATGGAAAAATCCAACGGTTATAATAATTTATTTGTCATAAAGAGAAAATAATCCCCTGATCCGAAGTTTAAAGTGAATTACTGGACTTCCACTGAAGTGATTCAGACTTTCTCTCCCACCGGACGGGTGTCTGTAGGCGACGTAAAGGAAACCAAACCACTGTGAGGCAAAGTTGTTGTTTGTTGTTTTACTATTTACACAATAATTTTAGTACACATCATTATATTATTTAATTATGTTTTTAGGGGATTTCCGCCTATGTGTGGAGGAATGAGGAGACTGTAACCAGATTGCACAGCGCACACTCCGAGTTCATATTCTGCTTTTTAGCTTTTCCCCTCTCCTTTATTGAGTAATGTATCTTTCAGCTTCTCGCTGACCCGCCCTTCTCTGCTTCTGATTGGCTAGTAGTTCTTAACGAGGAACTGAGCATGTGCAACTCCCAACAAAGATCATGTAGAGACCAGATGTATCACTCCATAGCTAAAACGAAGCCTTCAACACAGGCTGAAAAGAGGAGCTGCAGCAATGTGCAGTATGACAAAAATATAACCATGTAAACCTGTTCTGGTACAACCTCTGAATAAGAATATGAACCTGAAAATGAGCATGCAGCCTTTAGATTACTTAAATTTAGAAGTAAATATTGTTGAAATATTCAGTCAGTTGTTGACTAAAAACATATGTTGATACAACCAGGCCACACGTAATGGTACTGAATGATAACGCAAGCTGATGTTCCGGACCTTTTTGTTTTGCAAAATTTTCTCTTTGAATTTTAATTGAATACCCCTGAAATATATGCTTAACTACTGAATAGCATTATGCATTAAGAAATAAATTGTTGTTCCTCAGTGTTCTTTATTGGTTTTTACTAAATACCAAAGTAAACAAACATTGTTTATGTGTTTTTTAACCAACCTGTATTCTCTACTTCCCTCTCTGTAATGTATTTGTGGTGTCGCTGTCCCGAGGAAATTTCTCTCTGTCCTTTTTTTAAATTATCCTCCAGCGTGTGTTGCTTCAGGCTTTGCCGGAGTTACCTGACTGAACTCTCTGTATCCTGCTGGGTGATTATTGTTTAGGTGCTGTATCAAATCATCAGTGTTGAACGCAGCTCTGTTAATACCGCCTCGCGAAACGCTTGCATTACAGACATTACAACTGGCTGTTTGGACTGCTTTTGTTTTCCTATTTAAAATATGTCCACGCTGCAGACATTTTAGCCGCGTCCCGCCACAAACTGTGCTCTCCGTTTTTACGACACTTGTGTGAGAGC